CTGCATAACGACAAAATGATACTCAGTACGGTATTTGTGAGCGTTAGAAGTCAACAAGCTTTCGGGCATAAATCATTATTAAACTCATGTAGGCCTATATATAAAATTAATAAATCATGTACAAGCAAAGGTTTTGGAGAGAGGAATATAATTTGCCAATAGAAATCAGTAAAAATACATCCAATAAGAATACAATAAATCAGATATAAAATAACCATAAGGAGACTGCAGGCAATATTATTGCCTGCTTATTGGTCGATCGATCATTCAGTTAGTTGGCTGGTTGTTTGGGTTGGGCATACATGTTTTTAGTATTAAATAATAAGTTCCCCTCAAACATGGTTTTCAGGAGCATTTAAAACAGAACTGTATATATACATACCGCTTGCAACGTTCCAAAACCAAGTGTGGCGAGAGTTTCGCCATCTGTGTGAATGTTATCAACGAAAAGAGCGTCAGTGGGATCCAACCTACAAGCCGGATCGGTGTTACGGAACTCTGGACCAGCAGGATCAAGACCTTAACATATGAACATAATGATAATGATGATGATAATAATAATAATATTAACAACAAAAGTAATTATAGGAATGCCGTAGTAGTAACAACAAAACAATAACAACAATAATAATCCCAATAATAACAAAGAATTAAGTGTTTAGAAGGCGAATGATCTAATTAATGTGATTCAACATTCTATACATCATGAAATAGTAAAATAAATTATTATTTCTTTCATAATTCCACATTTACACAGCAATACTTGCCTGTTATTCGTCCAATTCCCGGAGTTGTCTCACCAGCAAAGCCGGAGATGTGGGCGCCCAAGCTGTGTCCGATAAAGTGCATCATGTTATAGAGGGCGATCGTTTCTTTCATGAGGAACTGAACGAACATTCCCAACTCTCTTCCGACAACTCTGGCATTTTGTACCGATTTAGTGTAAATATCCTTGGCCCCTCTGCCCCAGTCAACGACAAACACATTCAAATCCTCCTAGATAAAAATTATGATAAAAAATAGAAGAGTAAATCATCTTTTAAT